GACCATAAGAGGATGGTGAGGTCCATGCAGAGCAGTCAATGGGACTGGAGATACCTCAGGAGACCATCACTGTCCATGCATGGTGGTCTGTAGGACTGGAAGGTCCACAGTAGGATGGTAAGGTCCATGCATGGCAGTCAGTGGGACTAGAGGGACCACAGGAGGATGTCAAGGTCCATGCATGGTGGTCTACAGGACCAGAGGGACAATGAGACACTGGCAGGGTCCATGCATGGCAGTCAATAGGACTAGAAGAACCCCAGGAGACCATCAGGGTCCATGCATGGTGGTCTGTAGGACCAGAGGGACCATAGGAGAATGGTAAGGTCCATGCACAGCAGTTGACAGGATCAGGAGGACCACGGGAGACCGTCAGGGTCCATGCATGGTAGTCTGTAGGACCAGAGGGACCATAGGAGAATGGTAAGGTCCATGCACAGCAGTTGACAGGATCAGGAGGACCACGGGAGACCGTCAGGGTCCATGCATGGTAGTCTGTAGGACCAGAGGGACCATAGGAGAATGGTAAGGTCCATGCACAGCAGTTGACAGGATCAGGAGGACCACGGGAGACCGTCAGGGTCCATGCATGGTAGTCTGTAGGACCAGAGGGACCATAGGAGAATGGTAAGGTCCATGCACAGCAGTTGACAGGATCAGGAGGACCACGGGAGACCGTCAGGGTCCATGCATGGTAGTCTGTAGGACCAGAGGGACCATAGGAGAATGGTAAGGTCCATGCACAGCAGTTGACAGGATCAGGAGGACCACGGGAGACCGTCAGGGTCCATGCATGGTAGTCTGTAGGACCAGAGGGACCATAGGAGGATGGCAGGATCCATGCATGATGGCAGTTGATGGGATCAAAAGGACTCCTGTAGACCATCTAGGTTCAGGCATCATGGTCTGCAGGACCAGAAAGACCACAAGAGGATGGCAGGATCCATGCACGGCAGTTGGTGGGATCAGAAGGTCCACAGGAGACCATCAAGGTCCATGCATGGTGGTCTGCAGGACCAGAGGAACCATGGGACACCAGGAAGGTCCACACATGGTGGTCAGTATGGGCAGGAGGTGTGAAGCCACTACAAGCTGAAGATGCTCATGGACATATTGGTCACCAGTGCTGCTGCTCCCAGAGAGGAGCTCCCAGGTGGGCACCATGATGCTGAGCCAGAAGAACCACCCATGTTGGGGACATGGTGGGGACACAGTGGGGACAAGACCTTCTGTGGTGTCCTCATGGGAGAGCAGCCCACCCCGTACGTGCAAACCAGGAGCAGGAGCCCCCCAACCCAACCCTGGCACGTGTGGAGCCCTTGTAGTGGACATGGTTGGGTGGGACCAGGTTGGGTGAAGGACATGAGTCCTTCCAGGGGGTGAGTGAGGTTGAGGGTCCCAGATGGGGACATTTGTCCACCAGATGCTGGGAAGAAGCAGGAGATGATTCTGCAGCTCAAGATGGGGGCTGGTCTAGCAGGGATGGAGATTGTCCCCATGGCCATGGCCATGGCCAACCCTCTCCAGATGCCTCCTGCCATGGGCCTCATCCTGGCTCCTCTGTCCTC